CTGAGCTGCAAACAAGCAAACCTATATTTATAGTGATATAAAAATATCAAGATCCTGCAAATCTGATAAATACAATAATTACACGCACAAAATGTATTTGAATAAAATTATGTAATATTTTGTTCTTGTATAAAATGCAAAAAGTTCGTAGTTCTAATCTATAATTTATGCGTACCTATGCGAATTGTATTTTCTTTTGTGTCTGTCTTTCTCTGCAACATATGCGTAAATCTCATCGAGTTAAGAAACCTATTCGCTAGGCAGGGATTGTGTTAAACTTGTGTTAATTTATCAGGAATAAGAAAAGGTCAGTTTTTATCACGCAAGCCACGGAGCGTTTTGTATATAGTAAGCCTTGACATGAAGTATTAATCAGAATACAAACAGAAACCAGAAAATCCAATATACATTTTACTTTTCCAACTTTTTCTTTTAATCAAGTTAGCACCTCATACACCGGCTTTGTTAACTCATTCCTAATTTATTGAAATCAAATTTAACTTTCTCATTTCAATTTAAATAAACTATAAATTCCCAAGGCTGTACGCATCTTGTTATATACGTATATTGAAAATTCGTAAAATTAATGAAATATGCCAATCATATTTTCAGACAATAGGGTTAATAAAACTGATACGAAAATCGAAGTTACTGTATCCTAAATAGATCAACATATACCTTAAGTAAATGTTTATAAGAAACAGAAGTCCTTCAAGCTCATTTTAAATGCTTTTATTGCAATATTAAAACTATTGGAGGAATTCTGATTTACAAACGTGAATGAAAATGATAATGAAATATTTAAATATGTTAAGTTTTTATTACCTTTTCGTGTAGTTTGACATAAGCCATTAGTAGGTGCAGTATTATCTCCACACAAGCAATATTTTTTTGAAGGGTCTCTAATATCTGCTATACAGCTTGTTTGGGGTATTGGTTTGCATTGGGTATGATTTATGCACGATTTGGCTGAAACTGAGGACATAAAAGACTAATCCAAAAATTATTTCTGAAGAAATTACGATAAGCCGACTTATTGTCTATACCACATAACTAAACACGACTATCGCTTAGAAAGTACAAGTTTCAAGAAAACAGAAGCTCTTTTTAAAATACGGCTATAACGCACGCTTGGTTTTAACGGAAGAATCTATACTTGGATATAGCAAACGATCGGCTTTAGCAAACGTTTTCAGCAGGTCCGATCGGTTATAATAAACCAATATTTTATTGTTTTGAAACAAACCAAATACTTGAGATTTGTTTAGGTGTTTGAAAGTAGCAAGCCCAAGTTGTGAAAATACTTCGTGAGAAACTCAATATCAATTGTGATAATTTGGTTTCGGTTTATTTTGTAAATTAGTGCGTTAAAATGAAAATGCGTGTTGTCGGTTCGTGATGCGCAACTAAATTGTTCTCACCCAATTCGGCAGCGAAGAGAATAAGTGTAACGCTGAATGCGTGAAGGAAAATCATATTGGAAGCGTTTCAACAAATGCAAAGCCTTTACTGATTGCCCGGTGTTTTATTTACGAAACAAATATTGAAATAAGATGGTACAGAATGGTGCATCAAGTTTGAATTAGATCAAGATAAAAGCCATTCGTACCAGGATGGAACGGTGGTGGTGTTTGCGGATGGATGCTCTGCGATTTGCCGAAAGTTGTAAGACCGTGAGCGTCGTTTAATTTTATCAACACTGATACTATCGAAAAACACAGCGTAATGTACAAACAATTCATGATGACAATTATTGCAACCGTAACAATTCACAGCCGTGGTAAGAGTGAGAAAAAGAAGTTTAAAAAATGCGATTTCTTTTGGTAAGAAGGGGCGCTTGCGTTAAACCTTTTGCTTACATCATACACGTTACCTGATGTGGTGGTAGGTAGTTCGTATTTTGACGAAGGACATTTTGCAGGCAGAATTGGACAAGTTGGCGCCCCAGATTGCCGAAAGTCACGCAATTCATTACGTCATAATCCTTAGTCCTTACACACCTCTCCCCCGACCGCACTTTCTTATCGGGCAAAAGGAAGTAAGATGTTTCCCGTAATATATTTCTCGCCAAATCTCATTACTTTTGATTTAATCAAAGGTCAAGGTGTAAACACCTCCTTTTATAATGTCTCAACTGCAGAATATCATACGTCATCGATCGATAATAGCGTAAACTACAAAAGCCACTTTGCAAATGAAAGTGCATTTATAACAAAAATAACTCGGGCCATAACTTTGGTTAACTCCCAATAACTCAATTTTAGTTTCAATACTTGCTGAATCATCCACATAACCCATTTCTGCAGTTTGGTCTTCCCTATTAAAAAAAAAATTAAATCATCAACGTCATAACTGGAAGACTTCAGTACTCATGCATTTTAATAGGAACTTCTATTTTGTTTTGTCACATACGTAGTTGAATAATTTGGTCAAACGAATTTAAACGTTTTTTTTTTTAATAGGTAACTATTTTATTAATATAAATACTGAACTAAAAAGCCTTCCTATGTTATGCATAAACTGCACATCAGAGGGTTTAAATAAATTATTTTCCACAAATGACAGCGAATTGTGTACCGGTTTTCAATTTATTTATCTGCTAAACACAATTGGATTACTGTTGTTAATATTTATTGAATTTAATTTCCGATTATCCTGCAGGAATACGTAGAAGTTGATTTAAAAACTAATTGGTTGCCAATCTATTTTTCAATTTCACCCAGCTTTTTCCATTATTTCGACTTCTATTGGCACAGTTTTTCCTTGTTTTATTGAATTTTCATATAATGAATGTAGAATGTTAAAGAAAATTTAATTGTATCGAAACTACTTGTCAAACGGTTTGTACAATTAATTCAGACTTCTATAGCTTGCCATATGTACATCTACAAATGTTGGTCAATTTGAATATTAAAGAATAGAGATGACATATGAGTTAGAACTACATCAATAATTGCCTTCCGTTGTGTGACACCTGAGAAATTACCGGCCACTTTGCAAGGTCCAAAGAACTCGAACCGAAATACACCACCAAGGTGACACATAAGGTCATTTTGATTTTCTATTCACAACAGTTGTAATTTAGGAATATTGGCCAAAACTTGTAACACCTCATCTTACACTTTAATATATGGTTACGTTAGGTTTTGATTAGGTTTTTTATTTCCTTGTGGATTGTAAAGGTCTTTATTGTAACGTAGAGTTGGATTCAAACATGACGGTGTCTTCGGAAGTTGTTTGAACATTAAATTCATCTGGTTCCTTTCTGGTAGGTTGTGTTTGAAAATATTTTATGGCAGGTATGTAATAAAACTGCATATTACTTATTGTTATATTAACTCCAATCTTTGAAAGAATAAGTGAGTTTATCGTATTGTAGAAATTGCGTAATTATATAGTGCTTCGTATAGGTCGCTGATATGCGTGTTCAACGACCGCAGTATAAGGGTGTTATCAGGTTTAATTCCGAAGCATTTGCATGACACCCACGACTTACCGTTACTTTCGATGCCAACATTTATCAAATTATATTTCAAGGTCAATTATACTGCATCCTTATCATAATACCGGAGTGGACGGTGTCCAACATTAAATGCATTCAATTATGCACTTTAAAGCGTTTGCCTTACTTGTTAAGAACTTATTAATTCCAAAAGTCGATTTTACTAACGTGCCACCATCATCTAAAGTGTTTTACAGGTGCGTAATTGTCTTCTACCTGAAGAATGTTAACTATAACAAACGTAAATTAGTAATACTTGTGTAAAGTATTTGTTTATTATACGAAAACTGTCTTTCATTTCCACAAAAAAAAACGAAATGACTTTCCGAACAACCCTATATGTAAAGGGCTCGGCTTAGGTTATGGTAAACTTCGCCATAACTTAATCCAAACCCATGATGCGTAACAAGTCATACGTGTGTTAATCGAGGAAACCTTTCCACCATGGTGGACTATAGCCTAACCTAAAGACTACCATTTGACCCATTTCAAACTTCACATAAGCTAATCTCTATATTCTACCCTAAGCCCAAAGTTCATGCTTTCTATACATGTAATACTACCACACCATAGACATCTAAATAGGTCATTTATCTATTAGATTTTTTAACCATCACATAATTCTACAATATTCTATCACTTGTTATCTCAACTGCACCATTAGATGAACAAAACAGACCAGTCTTGTTATTGGTCTTGGTCGAACACTTCTAGGCTTGGTTTTGGTCATCTTGCACGTTTAATCTGATGCTTACAATTATTCTAAGCACAAAATTTTTCAATTTGATGGTACGATAATTGTTTAGAATGCTAAAATTTTTGTTGAGCTTGTCTGAATTTTTAAAGGAAATAAGTGTGATGCTTACGAAAACTCTACAACTTACCCTTTTTCCAGTGTATAAAGTAAGCGTTCATCAAAAAAAATAGTACAAAGTACTTAACAGGAGTAAAAATACCGAAAAAATATTAGTTTGTCTCTATATTTTAACCATGTAAAGATTTAGTAAAGCAAACAAAAAAATTTGAATACAAAAACTGTTCTAAATCCATCGGAAGTGATAATTTCAACGTATTTGGTCTTTCGTCTTGCATATTCCGTGTTGGTCTTGGTCGAGTGTAGAACATATTTATACATACAGAGAAGTATGAAACATAAACAGTTATGGGTGATGCAGGTCATTTATTTATCATGGATATGCATATTTTTATTTTTAATATTTCGATTTCAAAATCGCGTATAATTACATGCAATTTCATTTCGATTATCAGGAAATATTCAGCTCAAGGGGCGAGCATTGCAAAATTGGGGAAGAGGCACCCCCGCCGACNTGTCGGCTATCTTCGAAAATATTCTGCATGCATTCGAATGATGAAACACCTGAGCCAGAGGAATCGATATCTAAAAGAAATATTTCGTTTTTAAATATTACACTATAATTAATTCCGTAACTATAGGTATAACATATGTTTAATTGGTATAAAAATCGATGCTATTATTGGTTACTACTAAGGTGACCAACTATACTCATTTACTGAGTTTTGTACTCTTTTCGCAAACCGTCTTAACAGTCAAATTTAATATTCAAAAAGAAAGTTGTTCGAATGTGGCTACATTAATAGACGAACATCCTCATCTAGCAAAAAAAAATCCACTCCAAAGAAAAATATGTTTTTAAAAGAAAATAAAGTTTTTATCGTTTTTTCTTCTTTTTTTTTTCACTTATGAAATACTTGCAAAGTGTATTCTTTTTTTGAACAAAAAATAGTTGGTCACCTTATTACTACAATAACTTTAATGTTAAATTTAAAAGTATATCGGTTATTTCTAATTAAATTTCTAATCGTATTGTGTTGATGATCTAAAATTCGAGTTAAAGTGTAACCAAAATCGACTCGTTAATTTATGGCATAATTATATAAATTCGTTTAAAATTTTCGAAAACGTGTAACATACCAGATAGATATTGATAGGAAATTTGTGTCCGGAAGGCCACCTTTACTGATATGTTGAATAATATATTCCTGGCAGATTTTTAATAAATTTCTGAGTTAAATGATGTTATTAAACTCGATTTCCCTATGCAGAAGTCTTAAATTTATCGGTAAAACAGGTTAATCACGCGAAACTGAAAATTTACACCCTTTAATTTGATTCATGCGCAAAAATATCGCGTGCTACACTGCTGAGAATTTTGTTGAGAAAACCCTGCTACATTCATTTCTCATTTCGAAGGTCAGTCAAACGATGCCAACTGTTACATTTCCACTAATTTATAAAAGAAAGTTTGCCCTTATAAAAGCCTGCTGTAGAAGAAGAGCCAAAAAAAAAAGGAAAGTGGGGCTGGCACGTCATCGTAGTCCTTTATCGCACTAAAAGAAGCTAGTAATTTGGCTATAGATTTTGTATTCTATACTTGTTCAGATACTTTTGACGCATGAAAATACCGATTAGAAATAGCTGCGTCAATTCATGTGACGTATGATTACGGTAGGGTACGTCACCCCAACCTTATTCGCCATTCTGTTAGAAACATGTAGTTTAGAAATATTGATCTTTTTGTAAGCCTAAGAATTTTAACAAATATAAATAATTTACAGTGCAAACACTCCAAAATAAAACTAAAAGGAATTTTACTACATAACAAATAGCGTTTGCAAAAAAAATTTCGTTTCGTCCGCTGTCTTCATCAGTGTGAAATCAACGTTAAAAGAGAGAATAAATAACTTTTAAGTTATTTTAACTTTGATTTCACATTGATTTGACCATAATTCTCTCTCTACCCTACGGTTCTAGTAGAAGTGACAAAGCGTCGAAATAATAATAACAATTTATTTGATTTATCATCTTGTGTGTGGCGTTACCATAAATTATGTATAAGATGACACCTTGTTCCTGTAGATAAATGTTCTATTAATGACTTACCATTTGGGGCATCCAGCATGCAATAAAAATTATGCAAATGTATCCCATTAATTTAGCAAATGCTATTTCTTCTTGAGTTGAATACCTATTGTTAATACCAGATCTGCTACATCTTCGCAATAAAGAACGCGTATGATTGCCAATTCGGCAAAGTTCGATGATAATTGATATATTGCAGAGTGCTATGCACAAGCATAACATTGTTCCTAAAACAATTTTAATAAATTATTCCAATTTATTTAAATCACGTTCGATAATAATAACAATCATCTATTATTACCACCGGAAGCCACTTGTAATCGTTTATAAAAATGCATTTTTTTTTCTTAACCGTTTAAACGATATCAATCCAATTCAAATAAATTATCGTACTGTTTGGTTTTAAATTATGATATAATTCTGTTTGGTTTTAAATTATTAAGGTTTTTATTACTCAATTTCGATGTGGAATCATTAGTCAAATCAACTATTGGTGTTATAAAAAATAAAAAAAATAAATAAATAATAATCTGATTCCTTAATCAAAAACGCATTTAAAAATCCCTTTAAAGTAAATAATTGAAATTTGGACACCCTCTCGGACATGAAGGGCTATTTAAAGATAGGAGGTAAACCTAGATTAGATTACTATTCGCAAATAGAAATGTAGTTTTTGGGAAATACGAAAACTGGCTCGAGATAGGAGGGCATGGAGGTGCGTGTACCCCCAGTCTTCGGGTTGAAGACGTTATGACGATGAGATATACTAATATAGGTACTTTTTAGACGCCTCTTAATTTTTTGACCACATTGTACATGTGCAACAAAGTAACAAAAAGTTGAATATGTGGGAGGAAGTATGTGTAATACTCACCCCAGTAATCGTGGTATTTATGCTTACAGTCACGTATTGTATAATATGAGTTGGCCTTTCATTCAAGGACTTAATTACACGTGCTTATTGGAACAAACAAGCTTCCGGTAAATTTTCTTATATAATCTAATTAATGGTTTTAAATTTTCATTAAATAGATTACTAAGTAGCTCTGGTATGGCAAAAGCGACTTAGAAGTACCTACCAATAAAGCAGAAGACGTACGCATAAACAATATCCTTTATTTCTTTGGCGTCTCTGTACCTACAACATTTGCCATTTTCGTAATAAAGACCGAATCCTAGCAAAGGCAAATACGTCAGAACGAATGCCGACAGCCATAAACCAAATATAGTCCTTTTGACCATCCTGTATGTGACGATCTGAAAAGGAATAATATTAGAGGTAGTTGAGAGTCTTATGAACCTTAGCCTTATGTTATGCAGTTTAAAACATTAACCGTATTCAAAGTGGTGAGCAGGTAAAAAAATTATTACACAATAATACAAATTTGCTTGAGTAATTGGTCACATGATGAGAAAATACTGTTGACAGTTTATCTAGTTCAGTCCTATTTGTATAGCAAGTCACATGGTTAACATCCCAGTTAGTTTTTTTGTAATGCCTCTTGCGCGTGTAAAGGATCATGGAATTTTAAACTAGCTCTACCACAATTTTTATGTTTCAGTTTTGATTGCGCTCGGATAACTGGATTAGACGTTGTTTTGAATATTAATAAGGGATTTTACACTTTTCATACTGTTACATCATCGACGCTACAATGTAGACAGAATTTGGCAGCGCAATTATTCCAAACAAGGCTCGACTTTTCCTCGTGAAATTGTATAATTTGCTTAATTTATGCGTTCTACTTTAAAATCAGCTACACTATTATGGTCCAAAACCTAGATTCTTATTTACATCTTGCTCACAAACAAATACATGTACTTTTTCAGAGAGAAAACAAAAAAAAACGTGCAAAGAATTAGGACAAATCAATATCAACAGATTGTGAGCATCGATTTGATGGCCTAGTATCATATTTCCTTTATTATTATTTTTTTTTGTTGTAACTCATGGAATGACCCTAGAAAACTCTCAAAATATTAAGTCCTAATTAATCTACCATTCTAAATTAAATTTTCCTGAAATGTGTAGGCCTTAACGAAATAACGTCAAAAAATGAATTTCGAAAAGATGTTTTTGAGTTACACTTGAAAATGAATAACAGATTTGATTCCTGTAAGAATTTTTACTTCAAAAAGAAGATATTAGATTCAAATTTGAAAGCCAAATGTTGAAAATATTCGCAAACATAAAAATCGCTGTCTTTATACAATTGATATGGGAATTGAGAGATTTGACTTTTTGAATACAAAGTAGACAATAAAAAAATAAAGTTAAAGATCGAAGTGTATATGTTATTATTAATTAGTTTGATTATCCTTTTTAATCTGGTGAAGCATGTTTTTAAGTATGTACTTTCAATAACAACCACTCCTTCTTTGAGAATTAATTAATAAAATTGACACAATTTGCTTAAAGCAGACGTACTAGTGTCATAAGAAAATGTAGGTAATTGATAAATTAATAGAAAAGTTTCTGTGTAGCTATATTTTGAAATGTGAGACGTATTTCGTATTTTTTAACCCTAAGAGTCCTTTAACCCGTGTCTGTATTGCACGTTACAAGAAATTAAGACCAATAATTACGGTTTGGCTATTTTCCTTCATTACTCGATATTGTTCAAGTTCGATTGAAACTCTATCTAGCCATGATCATCCATAATAAGCAATTTACTTCGACAGATAATTAAGGGATGTAGGGGAAGCTATTCGAATTATGCTATTCATTAGGTAATCCAAAATGAATCGCGTTCAGAGAACTGCCTGATGCTTTTAATGTGGTTGTTTACATCAAACCCAAATAGCCAAAATAACTACATATTTAACACGATTATCCACAGATGAATGCTTGTATTACATGATGCAGTACTCATCTACATTCACTTCAAAACTCCTACGTATGTACGTACATGTATTTAAATTAATGCACATTTTGGTTTACGTACCATGTGTAAATTTACGTATGTATGTATATGCATAGAGGAATATTGATTTGACTTTTAATGGAACATATCATAAAGTGGTTTTAATCCAGTACCCCACAGATCCGGCAGTTTGTTTAAGATCCGACGAGGTACCGGATAATGGCGCCGGGCATCCGACAGTACCGGATAATAGTCGACTTTTGCTATTCATCCATATCAGTTCATTTTTAGCATTTAATCTATGAAATATATCCGGCAGTTTGTTTAAGATCCGGCTAGGTACCAGATAATGGCGACAGTACCGGATAATAGTCGACTTTTGCTATTCATCCATNAACATTAAATGCATTCAATTATGCACTTTAAAGCGTTTGCCTTACTTGTTAAGAACTTATTAATTCCAAAAGTCGATTTTACTAACGTGCCACCAGTCTTTCTATGCATCATTTTGCAAACTAAAACTAATAAACGTTTATATTTGTTCTTTTATATTAGGTATTAAAAAGTAACAGTGGTTTTAAAAAAACAGATCCTCAATAAACGGGAATTATGATAAAAAATATATCTAAAAATTCCCGAAGAATTCCACTCTTTCTCTATAAAAATATCGAGGCAATCTATAAAGTAATGAAAATGAATATTGGAAACAAGGTAAATGTCGAATCGAATCGAAAGAGGAGGTCTCCCCCACCACTGTACCATAAAAAGTTCGTGCCGGTCTCACCCCCATAAAAAGTTATGGGGGTTAGATGGGGTGGGGGTAGGGGGGATCAGAAGAGGGTGGTCATCTGAGTAAAACCCCATAAAAAGTTATCGGGGTTGAAAGTTGATTATTTTGACAATTTTCATACACTATAATTCAAATAAAATTCAATAAAAAAATTATTTTCAAGCGGGTGGAGGTGGGGGATCGAAAGAGGGTGGTCACTTGAACAAAACCCGATAACCTAACCTAACCTACCCTA